ATATACTACTTTATAATAATCAACTATTTTTGCCCGAAGTTTATGAAACTTCACATTGATCTTTTTTATGAACAACCACATGATCAAACATAAATGGAATAAAACTATCTTAGTTATACAAAATTTATTTTGACCACAACATAAACTTAAATTCTTATTATTTTTAAGATTAATTAGAAACCTTCTCAATAGTTAACTGTTTCATAATTTTGGCTTGCAAACTGTCGGAGCAGTACATATGGGAGATGATGTCAAGGCATCGTAATATGCTCTTGTTTGTCACTCTAAAGCAAGTACTCCATATGTATATATCTGCCCAAATGAAACTAAATTGTTAAGTAACACAAATTAAACCAAGTCTTAAGTATTAACGTAAGTTAATTGCAGAATTTATGGCAACTGAAAAATGATACTCCATGTATAACAGAAGCAAACACAACATTGATATGGAAACAAAATGCCCAGATTTTCACAGGCTCAACTAAATTGATTCAAGGTTGTAGCTCTCATGGAAGACTTTCATCTCTTATAGAAAATATAAGAAGAATATAGCAATTCGTGATGATAACGTGTTAAGAAACTTAGCTCAAAGTAATAATATAAAACAAGAAAATAGACAAGAATGTAGGGAGCAAGAGAGAAGAGATTCTTATTTCTCCATGTGTTCAAGTGTGTACAATGTGATGCCCAAGCCCTCTATTTATAGGATGACATTAACGTAATACAAAAGGATTTCATAAACATGGTATTAATTATTGAGATCATGAGGGAAGATCATGGAAGAGGTTATAGAGTTATGGGAGTTACAACCATAATGGTGAAGAATAGTGGGAATTTAATGGAGAAGAGTAGTGGGAGTAACTTCTTTAGGAGTTATAAACATCCACTACAAAATATAATATTTCATAACAGTTCCAAAATATTTTTATAGGCATAATACCTAGGATCATCCTAACTTGACACATTTTATTTAATGTATGAACTATTTTTGCTTTGGTTTTGGCCATAATCTTTTTTTCACTTTTTTTCTAAATTAGTGTTTGGTCATAAAATTTTCAATTTTCACTTGAAAAGGAATTTTGAAACTTTTCGAAGATTTGAAAAACTCCAAAAAGCTGTTATTCAAAATTTTCACTTCAAATCACTCATAAATATTCAAATAGCCAGAAATTGTATTCATGTCCAAACACAACTCTAGTTTTCAAATCTAATTTTCACTTGAAAAAAAATTCACTTTTTCCGGAATTTTACAATTCTTATGTCCAAGCGCCCACTTAAAATGTGTGTGAGTGCAAAAAATGTGTGTGAGTGCAAAAAATTAAAAAATTAGCTTCTAAATGGAAAAAAATTCAACTATTACTTGTCACGCAGTCATTGATTTACTTTTTCTAAATTTGCATTTTTTTCATGTTGCTTCTTAACCTAGAATGTACATTTTATTCCAATGTTATATTTCTTTTTCTTTCTTCTTTAGGTACAATGACGATTTAGTTTTGATTATGTATTTCTTTCTTTTATTGGCGTGCTAGATATGTGTTCGGTGAAACTTAATGTTTATTTTACACATAAATGTAGTAACTTAGGGTGTGTAACGGAAAATATTTTCCACGTCCAAGAAAATATTTTCTTGGAAAACAAGTAGTAATCTTATTTATTTTTCGGTGTTTGGTACGCAAATTAAGGAAAACAACCTCTCAAGAATATTCATAAATAAATTAGATACAATAAACACGACGCCATAAACATTCGAACCAATAACCTTACGAACGAACAAATTCCATGAACTTCCAAACCCGTACACTCAATAATTTCTAAACCGGCATTGACATATAGAGTTTTACTGAGCTTTATACTTCACATTGTTCGGTTTTGCACTTTTCTTTACTGTCAAGTTAAAAATATTGAATTGCCAGCATGCCTACTTTCCTGTACAATTTAAATATGTTATAATTGCTGAGGTTTAGTTCGTTACTACCTATCACTCCATTATTTGGACTTGTTACTTACTTAGTTGGTGTACTCACGTTACCCCCTACACCTTGTGTGCAGATCCAGGTACCTCAGGCCACGGTAGCGGCTGTTGACTGTTCTAGACGCGGATTTCACCGGAGAGAGCGAGGTAGCTGCCTGACGTTCGCAGTCCCGCCTTCCTCCTTCTTTATCTTCCTTCTAGTATATTTTGGATATTTCAGACTATTTTGGTCTGGTTGTGTTTCGGAACAAATGTAATATTGCTCATGACTTAGTGACACACGAGGTCGGGCTTTTATTTTGGTTTTGACTTTATATCTTTTATGGAATTTCAGTTGAAAATGGTATTGTTTAATCTTTAAATGAAATGTTGAACTATTTTGGAAATGTGTCGGCTGGCCTAGTTTCACGATAGGCACCATCACGACCGGATCGATTTTGGGGTCGTGACAGACATATGTTAAAGAATTAGGAGATTCTTCGAGAATTCTCATGTACGACTTGTTCTCATGATAAATTGATTACTATACCAGCTGGGGTTGGGATTGTATTCCCTGATTTTTGGAACGTATAAAAGGTGATATATATATGAGCCCAGTCACCTGCCATGTGGACCGTTTACTATTATATAATTTTAATAGAAGCATCTATTCTATGGTCACATGTGCGTTTGTTATCAACTTGCAGTTTGGCTTTTGCAAGGTTGCTTGCTCAAATTATTAGAGCACAGTTCCAGAATAAAAATTATGATAATTTATCTTGATAATGCTGGTTTAAATACAAGTTGGTTTAGCAGAAACTGTGTGCCTCCAATTAAGCTGAACCATTGGTTATGATAACATAACTCCCAAATAGAAATTTGGTATGGGGTGTATTATTTAATATACAACATCACTTGTATGCATCTAGCCAACAATTTATGATAAATTCTCCCTATCACAATTGGATTAGGGTCAGGAGCCAAATAATTTCCATCTAGAAATATGGATGTGCTATATGATTTAATTTCTCCACCATACTGTACAAAGATGAGTCCCTAGAGAATGTTGAAGATATGTGTTGGTGATCCCATCATTAGGGGAGAAAAATGAGCAGCTGAAAAAGTAATACATGGAATAAATTATTATGAGTACACTTAGATCCTCGTACAAGAAAATATGAACTTGAAGTTCAAGTGATAATTCATTTGCAAAAAATTGTCAGACGCATTTGTTGACCCAGCTAAATGTCATATTTCAGCTGCTAATGCTCCAAATAGAATAAAGTTCATGATGGACATAGTCTATGGAACGCATGAAGCGTAATAGCTAATCGGTTCCAAAGATAAAACTCCTTGAAGAAGGAGAGGAGCAAATGATAAAGATGGTCATACTAAGGATGCAAGTGCTCTATAAGAACACTACGACATAACACTTTATAAGACCTCATAGGAGAGGCTCAGGTACCTGAAACTATTGAGATCTCGATAAGTTATGTCTTTATTGAGTGGTGATGGAACGATATAAAATGATTGTCGATAATATTGTTGATATAACTTAGCGGTCAATTTTATTAATATTGACGAGGATCTTGAGCTCAAATCTGTCATGGAATTTGGACAGATAAGTAATTGGCCAAATGAAAAATACGCAATGAAAATTGACTTCACCTGAAAAATGTGAAGTTGGATGGACAGTCCCAACACCTGAAAGCGAAATGAAAAATCAAGTCGATAGACATAAAGACGACTTGTAGCACAAGTTTTTCGTAAATATTCCGGCATTTTATATGGAGAAAAGTTCTCCTGTGGTGGATGAAATCCTTTTCAGGTCTTAATTGGTCAATATATGAAAAACTTGATATGTGTATAATGAAAATCCTTGAAGGATTTAAATTGTTCTGAACTATATAAAGTTTCAGCAGATCCTTATATGGATTCGAGTAATCATGGTGTGCATGATTTATTTTTGTGTCTGTTGTAATTGGTGCACTAATGTATCTTGCTAAAATCATAAGTATAACAATATTCTAGCGATATATAATTTTACTCCTATGTATATTGAAATACGATTAGTGTTATATTGCAAAAGGAATCTGTGGTATAGATTTGTTTATTCTAACAATTATTGTCAAGGTTTTGTTGGTTATGCAAATGCAGGCATTTTCTGAAATTCGTTCTTGAAATAATCTATTTGTGTGTGAGGGTAATGCCATATTGTGATATTCAACAAGGTTCCAATTACATTAACGATGATACTGCATGCATAGCTCAATTAAAAGAAGGAATATCGAAGGAGACAAAATAAAACACATTCACCAAAAATCTTCAACAAATTTGTTCAAGTGATAATTTGACAAACTTCTTCACAAGGCATTGCGGATCTCAATATTAGAGAAGTTGTTATACAAGTTTGGAATTCGTCGTCTCCGAAGAATAAAGTGATCTTTTCATCAGGGGGAGGCAAATACGCGATGTACTCTTTTTTCCTAGCTAAGATTTTATCCCACCGGGTTTTTCTGGCAAGGTTTTTAATGAGGCGACAAATAATGCATATTACAAGATATATGTACTCTTTTTCCTTCACTAAGATTTTTTCCCAAAAGGTTTTTTCTTAGTAAGGTTTTAACGAGGCACATTATCTATAGACATCCAAGGGAGAGTGTTATGAAATATTGTATTTTGTGGTGGATGTCTATAACTCCTAAATAAGTTACTCCCACTATTCTTCTCCATTAACCTCCCACTAGTATTCACCATTATGGTTGTAACTCTCATAACTTTATAACCTCCTCCATGATCTTCCCCCATGATCTCAATAGTCTATACCATATTCATGAAATCCTTTTGTATTACCTTAATGTCATCCTATAAATAGAGGATTTGAGCATCACATTGTACACACTTGAATACATGGAAAAATAAGAATCTCTCCTCCTTTACTCTCTACATTCTTATCTATTTTGTTGTTTTATATTATTACTTTGAGCACTTATATTACAGGGAGAAAAAAAACATACACATTAGCGATTCGTATAATTGGTGGGTGTGGGGTTCCTTTTTGGAGGAGAGGGGGCCACAGACTGATATTATAACTGCTATCCCCTTTTATAAAACAGTTGGTAGACAGTAGGGGTAGTTAGTCTTTACAACTTCCGGAAAGCTTCCCCCGCAGTATTTTCTCCGGTAAAAAATGATGAAGAGAACACTGAAATTCAACGGCAGAAAGGCCGAGAGCGCCGATAGGACGACGTCGACCGCCACTGCCGCCGTCAAAGAGGAGGTAATAGAGTGGGAGATGAGGCCCGGGGGCATGTTAGTCCAGAGACGGAGTGATAATTCCGACGTTCCAATAACTCTGAATTTGCGGATTCGTGTGGCTTATGGTGCTGCTCGCTATGAGATCTCCGTCAATCCTCACGCCACTTTTGGTAAGTCTGCGTTTCACTATATTTGACGCTATTAGATTAAGTTTGATATAATAATATAAAAAAATAAAACAATAACTTGTTGAACTCAATTTCATTGTGTTGATAGTGTTAAAACTTTTACACTATTATTATTTAAAAGCCAAAAATTAATTCGATTTTATTTCAACTAATCCGATATATATGTCTTTTATAACAGTTCACATATTAAAAAATCTCTCGAAAAATGTCAAAATATTTTGGAAAATAATAGTTTTCTATAGGAAGCTAATGCATCCTGAGATAACTTGGCGAATGATAAAAAACTAAGAAGCATTATATATATTATATATATATATATATATATATATATATATATATATATTGGCCACTCTTTGTCGGAGAAATTTTTCACTTCTTTTAATTTTGAACACCTTTAGAGTAAATCGCGTATGGAAAACAGTATTCGCCAAGCTAAAAGTTAAACAATTCCGAAAATTAGCTCCTTTAGTGTTGTAAACCAGTTGTTGGTGGTGGCAGGGGAATTAAAGAAGTTATTAACAGAAGAAACAGGATTACAACCTGGAGAACAGAGACTAATAATCAGAGGAAAAGAAAGAGAAAATGGAGAATATTTAGACATGTGTGGAGTCAAAGATCGATCAAAAGTCATCCTAATTGAGGATCCAGAAAGCAAGGAGAAAAGATTCATGCAAATGAGAAAGAACGCCAAAATCCAAGCCGCATATCGCTTGATTAACGATGTATCTACAGAGATTGATAAACTGGCTGAGCAGGTAATTACCACTTCTATTTATATTAATATTTTTGGTTTATTTCAAACATCGTTTTAGCTAAACAAATTTTGTACAAAATACTCCCTCCCTTCACTTTTACTTGGTACATTTTGACTTTCCACGCCCATTAAGAAATAATAAATTAAGTGCATAATTTACCATGATACTCATATTAATTGATGCAATTTTATTGGATTTGAGAAAAAATGATTTGAAATGAGTAATAAATATTTTGGGTATAACAGGAAAAAAAATTGTCTTCTCTTGATATGCGTAAAGTTACAAGTAAAAATAAAAATCTATTTTTAGTATATGTCAAGTAAAAATGGACGGATGGAGTAAGTGTTATTTTAAGAAACCGGGAAGCTATTAAACATTTTTTTCTTAATTTGTTCTTTTTGTACTCCAATAAAGTAATGATCTAAAAAATTTGAAGAGAGATAAATAATAATGTGAGGAATAATAAAAGGTGCTTTAGTTAATTAACTTTTATTATTAATATTATTAGATGCTTTTTTAATGGGTGTGTCAAAACCTCAAATGACACTTGTTTTGCACCATGAGGGAGTAATTTGTAGAGTTTATTTTTTTTTTTTACATTGACAATTTAAGGTACTATACGATTAGGTAACTATTGATAATCATATACAATAATAATAAAGAATAGGAACCAGAAAAATAAAAATAAAAAAGTAATCTACCACAATGGATAACACTGAACTGAAAACTGATAGTGCAAAATATACATTAAATTATCCGTATATATATAAGAAAGAGAAAATAACAATGACAGATTTATATAACTAGAGACTACTTATACAATCTGAAGTACAATACATCCTTGTTTGGCCAAGCTTATGAGAGGTCAAAATTTTTTTTTTTTAAATCCAAAATAGTGTACTTTTTTATTTAAAATTTGAGGTATTTGGTCAAGATGGAAAAGTCTTCTGAGCAGTAGAAGAAGTTTTTTTGCTTTTGGGGAAAAAATTGTAAATTCAAGCTTCTTTTAAGAAGCAGAAAATTTATTTTTTTAAGATAAAAATATTATTCCCATAAATTTATATTTTTCAAATTATCTCTCATTAATTTAATCTTTTCCTTTTTGGTTCTAAGATTCCTTTCTTCTCTTTTTTAGTTCACTGTATTTTTATTCTCCCCAATCCTCTTTGGAATAGTTTCTCTACTATAAATAAATCTCTTCTTTTTTATTCTGCTATTATTTCTTTTCGTCGTTTTCTATTCCTCTTTGAAATAATTTACAATGCTAATCACTAAATTCAAACACTCTCTTCACATGATATGATTTGTTAATAGTATATCAATATTAAATGATCTCTAATTTGTAGTTTTGTTTCTATTTTTATTTTGCGTGGATGCATATATTATAGTTGAAGGAATGCAATACTACTTAGTTTGTTGTTTCTCAAGAATAGATAGTGCCTTTTATATTTATTTAAATAAAAAATTAATTAAATTCTTTTACATCAACATTTGAATTTCTTTCTCTTTTTTGAAATAATAAACTGAACATTGATATTGTCATTTTTTGTAATTTGACACTCAAAAGTACTTTTTGGAAGGATTTGCCAAACATGCTTGTCAAATATTACAAAAAATACTTCTCAAATGAATTGGTCAAACACAAATTGCTACTCTCCAAAAATATTTTTTCAAAAAACACTTTTGAACAGAAATACTATTGAAAATGAGTGTAGTTTTTTGGTAGATTAGCCAAACGGACTCCTAATCTTATTTGCTGAAGTAGTTGGAAACAACATTTGAAGTCAATCACCAGCTATGAATTACTTAGATATTATGATGCATAATGTGAGGTTGAAATTATATAGGTAGTTGAAAGGACAATTAGTATAATAATTGCACATAGCTGGAGGAAAAAGTAGTGGGACATAAATGCACGTATTGTTTTCTTTGTGTCCTCAATCATATAAGAATCCTGAATTCTTTACCAAATTAAAATTAGAATAAAGTTTTTAAAATTTAATCTTAGTGAACTAATCTAGGCTGTCAGTTTAGGAACGAACATTTACATAATCTTGGTCAAAGCATAAAGAGTTTGAAAACTGACTCTATAGAAATAAATTTAGTGCCCGTTTGGACATAAAATTTGATGGAAGATTTTTTCAAAAAAGTTTCAGTTTTTTTTAAATCAGAGTTTGTTCATAAAATTCTCAATTTTTTTCACTTGAAAATGCATTTTGGATATTTTTGAAAATTTGAAAAACTGCAAAAAACTGTTTTTCAAAATTTTCACTCAAATCACTCACAAAACTTAAAAAACAACCCAAACTGAAATTTATGTCCGAACACAACTCTAAATTTCAAATACCATTTTTACTTGAAAAAAAATTTCACCATTTCTCGAATTTTACAATTCTTATGTCCAAACGCCTACTTAGTATCTTACCAGAATTGGTTTTCATAATATTCATGATCATGCACGTTGAGAGTTTATGCTCTACTTTAATGCAAATGGTCATTAATTAGTGTGCTTTTTATTTTGATAATAATTATTTATAGATATCTGCAATTGAAAAGACAATTGAAAATGGGAAGAAAGTAGCAGAACTACATATCACTACTTTGATTGAGATGTTAATGAGACAAGCTGTCAAGTTGGATAACATCTCTATAGAAGGAGATGCATGTGCCCAGAAGAATTTGCAGGTACCTATTCTCATTTTTTTTTTCTATATATAATTTTACTTCTTTCATAAGCTGTTTGTTAAAATACAATGTATACTAATAATAGGTAAAGTACACAAATAGCCTTCAAGTACATAGTCTTGAATTTTTGTCAAGTTGAACCAATCTTGCCTATAATTTGTCCTATGGGTAATATTTTTAACTTTTGACCTTAAATTTCATAACGCAATAAGAATACAAAATAATAGATCACCCCGAAAAGTGTCATATTTTTGCAATTTTTTGTAATAATATCATACATATTATACTATAGTCCGCGAGAAATGGTATCTTTACTTACTTTAATATGAAATGATCTGTTCTGTAAGAACCAAATGATAAGATGTTCCGTATATATAATCAGACGGAAGCGGATTTAGAATTTTTAAAATATAATTGCACCACTAAAGAAATAAAAAAAAAAATAGTATATAGTGGCAATTGATCCCTCATCCTTAATAACTCAATATTCAACCAAGTATATCATTCAATATTTTTGAAGCATGAGAGCCAGTAAATATATTAGATTAATTCTAAAAAATATGTACATAAAATATCTAATTTGACCGAAAGACCATGAGTTCACATGCACTATAATTTTGGCTCAAATCAGCTATGTAACCGGGGAATATAATGTAAAGTCCAAAGGGCCACCACAAGATGTGATGGTATGTATAAGTTTCTCTCCCACTAAATTAGAGAGTTCGGATTCGAATATTGAGAATAGATAAATTTGTGATAAGAAATATTGCATCTAATAAGTCTTGCGCAGTGCAAATTTCAATTAATCAGAAAAGTGGGTTTCCATGCCTGATGGTTAAGACGAAAAAAGGAAGTCCGAAGGTAATTTTAAAAAATAAAAGGCCAATCATGGTAAGAACCTAATAATTATGACTAGGATTGTATTTTTATTTTTCAATTATTAAAAGCAAATTTTTTGTTAGTTTAGAATTCATGTATTCTACAATCTCCATTGTATAAATGAATATCATACTTTTCTTATGACCTTAATTTTTTCCTTACCCCTATGAATTCTGTAATATAATATTCTTTGTGCTTTCGTTTATAGAGTTTTTGGTAAGCTGATGACTTATGCTTGTAGGGACAAAGAGTGCAAAAATGTGTGGAAACCCTTGATGTGCTAAAAATAGCCAATGCAAAAATAAATCCAGTTATAGTCACCACCAAGTGGGAAACGTTTGATCCACCTCCTGCCACCACAAACTGGGAATTGTTTGATTGATTTCTTTTCAAAATCTCTTTCACTTTTCCATTTTTTTACTCTGTATTTTACTAAGGAGATTAATAGTTGTACTCGTGCTTGTAGCTTCTCTTCTACTGATTCACCAATAAATGTTTCTGCAGCATTTGTAAATGGGAAATATAGTGTCCAAACTCAACCACCCTTACCCTGTCAAAATCTCAATCCTAGCTCACATAGTGAGAAATCTAGCTATATCGCGAGAATAAGATGGAAAGGAAAACAAAAGATGGTAGGAAGGCTTTCAAGTGAGATGAGTAGAAGCACTACAAGAAAAAGTAATATTTGGGAAATCGAACCCTCACCAATAAGGTGAAAACTCAAGTAATAGAGGAAGGAGTTACAAATCGGGAAATTGAACCCTCACCAATAAGGTGAAAACTCAAATAACCAATCGACTGAGCTACTAAGATTTTCTCAATTCCGGGTTCATTCACTCTCCAAGTTGGGGCGGGTGTTGAGAAAGATAAGGCCCAACACAATCAGCCCAATGGCATCTCAGAAGTCCATGTCCACCTCTCAAGCCTAATTTTATTTTTGAGAAATTTTCACAAAGCACTATTGTTTAGTGGTTATTAGCTAGCTGTAGCTATCATTTACTATATTACTTCCTATAGCTATGTTTTCAGTTTTTTTAGAGTGTATTCGATGTATTTAAGCTACTGTATTCATGAATACAGTAGCAAAACTCGGCGTGAAACATGGGAGTACAACTAGGCAATTATTGTATTCGACTGTATTCACGATATGTATTTGTGAATACAGTAACGTAAATAGCTTAAATCGTGGTCTATTCAGCTGTTTTTAAACTGAAAGTGAATCAATTAACACAATAGACTCCTAATATAACTCAACTAACTCAATTATATCACCCAGAATATGTATTTGACGCCGACTTTGTTGAATATTTTTCCCAGCCGAAAAATACAACAAAACAGAGCAATCGTCGAGTTTATAATCCTTCCTTTTTCTTTTGCTATCGTTCGTGGGTTTTTCTGTTTTCAACCAATAAAATTCGAGATTCATACAATTATATACCGAAATCGGTATAATTCGATTTTACATATGGCAAGTTTAATCGTGCTACTGCGTCATTCTGGCAAGTGGAACAGTGAGAGTAACTATGTCGATTATTCGATTGAGGGGATATTGATAAAGGAGTGTGCGTCGTACAATGATTTGGTTGTATATCTCTATACTATATTTAATACGTCCATTCTTTGATATATATATATATATATATATATATATATATATATATATATATATATATATATATATATATATATATGATTTTTTTTTGAAATGTTCAAAACTTATAGGTGTATGTTTAAATGTAGGTTGTACCATCGGCTGAATACTTGCATACGGTGAACGATGAAGGAAGGCATTACACTGTGTGCCTCTTAGAGAGAAAGTGCAGTTGTGGGCGGTTCCAAGTTGACGAATTACCATGCCCACACGCTTGGGTTGTCTAGAAGAGCAAGTTTCTAATGCCAGAAGATTATTGCTCTGACTATTACAAATCAAAGTCTGTTGTAATGACGTACGAGGTGCCCGTGTATCCGCTACCTGACCGAATGAATGGAATATACCGGCACATATATCAGAGGAAGTTGTCTTACCACCCAAATGGAAAATACCTCCTGGAAGGCCAATGAAGAAGCGCGATAAGTCGTTTAGTGAATTGTTGCAGAAGAAAAATCAACATTCGTGTAGCATATGTGGGCAGGGAGGACGTAATAAGCGTACTTGTAGAAATGCTCCACGTATGACTTAGTTCACATTATGACTTGTATTAGTGCAATAACGATGTGTCATAGATTCCGGTGACATTTTGAAATAATACATATTGATTAGTTGGTGTATTAGATTTTTGCGTGAATACATTCTGGATATAATTAGTTGGTGTATTGGATTATTGCGTGAATACATTCTGCTGAATATAATTTAGTAAAGTGCCGAATACATATTGCATTTATATTTTGAATAAATATGAATACATACAGGTGTAGTTATATCTGAATACAATAATTACAATCTACTGAATACATATCAATACAAAATGGCTTACACATACAATACAATCTGGAAACAATTGAATACTTATGAACACAACATGCAGTACACATACAGCATAATCTGAATATATTCGAATACATCTGAGTACAAAATGTAGATCGCATACAGTACTGATGTGTGGCTGTAATTCATGGTTAGCACATTATGTGCCTTGTATTTTATATGCTTTAATGATAAATTACACTTTATTTACGCATAATGAAGTCTATTTTATGTGTAAGTGAATTGGAGATGAAAGTAGAGCAACAGGGATACTTAAACATTGAAAGTGTGCTCGAGAACAGTGAAAAGGAGAGACCTGGCGAGGCCAGGCAAATGCCAGCTTAACCAGGCTTTAGCCTAGCCTCTAGCGTTAGGCTGGCGCTGCAAGGCAAAGGCCAGGTTAAGGCTGGCGTTAGGCTGGCGGTGCAAGGATAAGGGCAGCCTTAATTATGAATACAAAATGCAATACAATATGGAAATATTTGAATACTTATGAATACAAAATGCAGTACACATACAACATAATCTGAATATATTCGAATACATCTGAATACAAAATGTAGATCACATACAGTACAATCCCTTGAAATATATATCAATACATGATGCATATACAACCTGATATATATATATATATATATATATATATATATATATATATATATATATATATATATATATATATATATATATATATATGAATACAATCTGCTAAAGGATCATTTTCAGTAAACTGATGAATGTATATTGTATATATACATCTGATGAATACATATGAATACTACCTACTGAATACATGTGAATACTACTACACAAAGCATTGAAAAAATATGAATATTTGAAATTACCATATATAAACACTGTGGATACAGTGAATAAAATGAAAACATGAGTTTTTCTTAACTGACCATCATCTATACCAAAACAATATTCAAAAAATTGTATTCACATAAAATTATCTTCCAATACTATATTAACCTAAACTACTCTAAAACTATCTTCATCGAAGTATCCGAATCCGTGATTTGCCTAACAATCTTTGAGGGCGTTTCGTTCTCGCTTATGGCATCAACGTCTATCTTCCGCATAGCATAGTCCCAAAGGAGGGACCCATATCTTTGACGGAGTAAAATATAGTCTTGGGATGGTTGTGCTATTCTTCTCGGAGGAAAATATGAAAGTGTGAATGAAATACAACACAACAATCTTGATGGCATCCCCATCGTTGATGTAACGACTCGGTCAGTCGTTCTAAGAGTTATAGTCCCGTTTCCCCAATTTCTATTTTTTATATGTTGTTCAGCTGTATTGAGTTGTATCGAGTTGGTAGGTTTGGGTTCGGAGTAGTTTTGGAGTGAAATGAACACTTAGTCTCTTAGTTAGAAAGCTAAGTTAGAAAAGTCAATCGGAAGTTTTGACTTATGAGTAAACGAATTCGGATTTGGATTTTATGATACGATTAGCTTCGTTGGGTGATTTTGAGACTTGGAGTGTGTCCGAAATGTAATTTTGAGGTCCGTGATAGAATTAGGCTTGAATTGGTGAAAGTTGAAAGTTTAGAAGTTCTTAGGCTTGAATTCGAGGTTGATTTGGTGTTTTGGTGTTGTTTTGGGTGTTCCGAAGGTTCGACTTAGTTCGGGTACTGATATATGACTTGTTGAAATTTTTGGTTGAGGTCCCGAGGGCCTCGGATGAGTTTCGGATAGGTTTGGGTTGTGTTGCGCTCATTTTTCTTATGTTTCGACGCCGTTTCTTCAAGCATAAATGATATCATATTGAACAAATGAGCTCCGATTTCTTTTTTGATTGAAGCATTAGATCTGTATCGTAATTACAGACCCGTAGCAAAATGAATCATCGAATTTGGATATCGTGTGAGGATTTTATGGTAATTTTACTAAGAATTAGGTTGCCAGATTTTTCAAATTAATTACGAAATTGCCACTGACGACGTATTTAAAAATCTGAACTATTTGCAAATATTGAAACCAACATATCTCATTCATTATAAGGTCAAATTGAGTGATTCAAAAGCCTAACTTGACTAGAATTTCACAAGGAATCTATTTGAGGCATAAAAAGCGAGTTTCAGGATTGTTTACATGAGAAACGAGGCAGAATAGCTGGCAGAAAAATATATAAAATAAGGGTTTGTTCATTCAGTCATATTTTGAGTTGGGGAGCTTGGATTTGGGCGATTTTGGAGGCGATTTTCACCATAGGGATTGGGGTAAGTGTTCTCTACTCGATTTTGGTTATATTTCATGAATCCATCTTCGTTTTGGGATTTGATTGATGATTTCAAAGTAAAATTGAGGGAGTTAGGGTTTGAGTTTTGGAGAGTTTTAAGTGAGGATTTGAGGGACCTAACGGAGTCCGATTTTGACGAATTTTATATGGTTAGACTTAGGAGAGGACGAGGTTTATTATTCTGCCATTTTTGACTGGTTGCGAGACGTGGGCCCGGGGGCTGGGTTCTAGCCGGTTTCGAATGTTTGGCCTATTTTTGAAGTTTCTATTGTGGAATTCGATTCTCTAGCCACGTTGATAATATTATTCTGATTATGGTTAGATTCGGAGCTTTTGGAGGCCGAGTTCAGAGATGAGGGCATCCCGGAGTAGGATTTTACGCTGTTGAGGTAAGTAACAGTTTTAACTCTGGCTTTGAGGGTATAAACCCGGAGAAAATGATATCATGTGATTGTTTGGTGGTGATACCCACGCTAGGTGACGGGCGTGTGGGTGTGCACTGCGAGGGATTGAGACTTAGTCAGTCCCCTGAGGCTGTGAGGTCTAATAACTATTATCTGCGTTATGCATTTACTTGTTGGTGAACTTTTCTGCCTTCACGTTAGAGATCATGTTTAGGTTTTATTCATGCTCACATTATTTGTACTCAGTCATAGAAATTATTGTACATGTTTACCTCAGCCTCTATTATTTGCTAATATGTTGTGATACTTGATGTGGGTTGTGTTCCCTTATTTGTTGATGATGGTGAGGCTAGTGATGTACATGATTGAGTGATGCCGAGGGCCTGGTTGTGAGGATATCGATAATGCGCGTGAGTTGTCCGCGTAGCATGTGAGTTGATCGTGCGGGTCCAGCTATTGATACCATAGCGCGTGAGTTGTCCGCGTAGCACATGAGTTGACCGTGCGGATCCAAGTATAGATATGATAGCACGTGGGTTCTCCGTGCGGTACATGATTGAGTGAGGCCAAGGGCCTAGTTGTGAGGATATTGATACCATAGCGCGTGAGTTATCCGCATAGCACGTGAGTTGACCGTGCGGATCCAGGTATTGATATGATGGCACGTGCGTTGTCCGTTCTTAGCGCTTGGGCTTTGGGAGCCTCTCCGGAGTCTGTACACACCCCTAGTGAGGGCAGAGTGTTGAGTGTTTTGAGTGTGTTGTGTGCGAGTGATGGAGTGACACTGCTGTGAGGTTGTATTTATTTGTGTTGTTGCTGCATTTATCTGTTAAATTTCTTTGTGGCATTTACTGAGTTTTGGAATTTACCTGTTTATATCTGTTATTTTTAAATTGTTAAAATAAATCATTGGACTGTTTTGCTTAGCTCGTCACTACTGCTCAATTCCTTAGTTATTTATGTTACTACTGAGTTGGTTGTACTCATACTACACCCTCCACTTTATGTGCAGATCCAGGTGAGTTAGAGCGCAACGATCGTTGAGTTCAGGCCGGCTATCTATGGAGATTGCAAGGTAGCTGCTAGTGTCCGCAGGACCTTGTTACTCCTCTTGTCATTTCTTCTTTTGGACAGTTAGACGGTTTATATATCTTAGTTTATAGTTTTAGATGCTCATGACTTAGTGACACCCCGTTGTTTGGGGCTCATTTTCCGTATTTTTCTATATTATATTTAAAGTTGATTTAGTTTATGAAAAACTTAAATGTTAAAATGTTTTTTTTAATTTGTTATAATCGGTTTAGTAGTAATATTTTGGGAAGTAGGCTTGCCTTGTAACAAGATAGGCGCCATCACGATCATGGTTAGATTTTGGGTCGTGACAAGTTGGTATCAGAGCCTAGGTTACATAGGTCTCACGAGTCATGAGCGGGTTTAGTAGAGTCTTGCAGATCGGTACGGAGACGTCTGTACTTATCTTCGAGAGGCTGCAGAACCTTTAGGAAAACTTCACCTTCTTGAATTCCTATCGTGCGGTATTTATTCAGCTTGAAGTGTAACTCTTTGAATTCCTTCCACTCATTTGTATGCGCACATGAGCGCTCGGTATCAATTGTGCATCGACGGATTGTGATTCCCTGGATGAGGTGCGAGATGTAATTTCTGTGTGTTGATGTTGGGCTAGTCTGGAGGACTTGAGGCCGGGTTTTGACTGTAGATTGAGCACTGAGGTGTTGATTGTGTGAGCGCGTGCTAGTGGACCTATATGTCCGGTAGTGTCCCTATTAGTGAAAATGGTGGTTGGATGGATACGTGATGAGAATGATGTGAACGCAAGATGATTTCATATGATTTGAATGTGACGAGAAGGTAATGTTAAAGGTTTCACCTATTTGAGACTCCAAGTATGTTTTTAGACTCGTTCGAGGGCGAACGTTTGTTTAAGAGGGGGAGGATGTAACGACCCGGTCAATCGTTCTGAGAGTTATAGCCTCGTTTCCCCCATTTTTATTTTTTTATATGTTGTTCAGCTGTGTTGAGTTGTATCGAGTTGGTAGGTTTGGGTTCGGAGTAGTTTTGGAGTGAAATGAACACTTAGTCTCTTAGTTAGAAAGCTAAGTTAGAAAAGTCAACCGGAAGTTGACTTATGAGTAAACGAATTAGGAT